ACACAGCCAAGCTCCCACCCAATCAGCTCAAACCCCACTGGCAGTTAAAAGGAAGAAACAGCAGCGATCGCACACTACTCCCAGAAGCACGAAGCTGAAGACACCAGCCTGAAGATGACGAATGTGACTTTGTCGAAACGTCGCCAGGACACTTCCAATTTTACGCGGGAGAGAACCCGAATGACCAAAGACCTACATATATATATATAGATAGATAGATTGATTGATTGATAAATATATATCAATCAAAAGACCTCCGGCTTTCACTCTGATGACATTGGCAGGGGACCGACAAAAGCTTAGAAATAAACAGTTGTTTTTATACTTATCCTGGAATTCGATGATTTTACACTTTTGATATAAATACACCCGGGATTTGCACACACACACACACATATTATACTCTATATTCAGCTCCCTCAATAACTTATGGTTTCATTGTTTTTTTTCCTTTGTTTGCAGGTCTACAGACTGTTAATGTAGATGAAAACTAAGCTTTTATTACAATAAAAATACTAAATTGATATTAAACATTTTTGCAATCAGATTACTTTTTTGCAATCAGATTACTCTGGGTTACAGATCAGCAATTGAATTCCACAATTGCTCAAAGGTGAAACAGGTCTTCCAGTTGCCTGGTAGGTCACAATGTTTCTTGATAGTTCTAATGATATGAAGAAAAACAGGGCAATCTTGTCTTCTTTCTTGGAATATCTGACATACAAGAAACCAAATTTTCTAATGGGTTGCTGGCTCCTCTTGCCAGATAGTGAGACAAAGTGAGATCTTTTTCATCCTTCCTGTTTTTCTTGCAAAACAACTTCCTTTACAAGCACTGGGATGAAATAAATGTGTTGGATGATTTTAGGACATGTTAAAGATTGGCTGGAAAGCATTAAATCAGTATAAATCTTCAGATTCAACAATTAAGACTGCAAGAATTTCACAATGAAGATGCTGTTTGCAGGATTTTTTTCCCCATGAGGGTGTACGTGTGTGTGTGTGTGTAAGCTTCTATATAAGTTCCAATGGTTTCAGGATTTATTGCCTCCTTTTGTTTATACAATATTCGCCTGATCAGGTAGTGATTAATGAAAAGGTACTTGAATGCAAAATATAGCCATTAGCATCAGACTGTAGCCCATAGGGTGGTAGCATCAAGCAAGCATTTCAGCTTTTTTTTTTTCCAGATGGATTTCGAGAAGTAAACAAAATTCCTTGAGTCATCTATTTTTACCCCTTGAAAATGACTGACCCTTCACCAAACAGGCTTTTTTCCAGCTTTCCTTTGGACTACACTTGTCATTCCTGTGCTATCCTGTACCTGTGGTACAGGTATCTGAAGGCCTTTTTGGAAGAAATCAAATTGAGTAAGGTGACTACCACACATCATAGTTTGAAACCTTTCCAATCATACTGCCTCTAAGTTGCCTAACCCAGGGCTTTTCAACCAGTGGTACGGGTACCACCTGTGGTACATTCGCACCTGGCAGGTGGTATGCGAGCATCCTAGAAAAGTAGCGGGGGAGGGGAATGAGCTGAACCGGTGGCAGCACCGCACAAGCCTGAGTGAGAGATGGCTGGAGCTGCAGAGCTGTCAATGCTCAGCGGAAGCGCCAGGATCAGCGCTTCTTCGGGGCTGTCAGGGCTCAGTGGAAGCGCCAGGATCAGCGCCAGGCTCCAGCTCAAGCTCGGCGCTGATCCTGGCGCTTCTGCTGAGCCCAGAAGAAGCGCTGATCAGCTGGAATATTGCAGCATCTCCAGGGTCTTGTGATTTAGATGCTTGGCAACTGATTCATATTTATGATGGTCACAGTGTCCCAGGGTTATGTGAAGTGACCAAAACCTGCTGCAACCACCCAGCAGACGGGGGAGAATAAAAACCAAACACCCCCCACCCCACCCCCGCTACCAATCCTCAACAGAAATGCTCACAACAATGAAAACCTCGGACAGTAGGAAGAGCGCCGCCCGGCAGGCAGGCAGGTGTCTTGCTCGGCTGTGGCTTGGGGGGCACTTTTTTCAGTGCTATTGGAACTTCGAACAGTCACTAAGTGAACTGTTGTAAGTCAAGGACTACCTGTACTTTATCACTTTTTTCCTTTTTTTTTTTTTTTTTGGTCATCAAGTTTTTGACACCTTGCTAGGCGACTGGTGGTACTCGGATATTGCCATATCCTAAAAGTGGTACAATAGGTGAAAAGGTTGAAAAGCCCTGGCCTAACCCATTCACATGACGTATTTGAAATGGAGTAATCTGAAAAGCAACAGATACAAAAATCTTTTATTGAAAAGTGCACACACAGAAAAATGAGAATCATAGTTCATGTACACGGAACATTGAAAGCAAGACATACAAAGTTTGATTCAAATATATTAATAGTTTCAATTACCAGCATTGAAACAAGCATTAGTGCAAAAAGGTAACAATTCATAAAACCTGTAGTTGGCCAAAATTATCAACTGGGAGTTACTTTATTTTTACTTTTTGGTAGAATTGCTTAAATAGCTCTGCATCTTTTTCAAAGTGAAGATGGAGTTTTAAATTACATTCAAAAAGAAAACAGATGGTCTTCTTACTCCAAAACCACATTTTAGGTAGTGTTTTGGCTTTAAAGCTCCCCAAAGTATTAAATAATTGTGTTGGTCCAAAAGCTCTAAAATTACAGTATGCATTTTGGTAGTACATAACCGTTGGTTGCTATTGTACGTTTAGCTGCTCAATTTCACCTCGTGATGGCTGGCTTGCACCACTTAATTTAGAGTTACACTGGGTCAGCTTTGCAGTCTCTAGTTTTGGTTTCAATTCTAAGGATTTCTCAAAGAAATTGACCAGGGATTGTTCAGTTAATAGGGAAGCCAAGATTTGCTCAAAAGAAACAATCCAGTCTCCTGTTAGAGGTGAGGGCACATTCTTTGAGATTTTCACAATGTCTGTAAAAACTTGATCCTGCTCTGAAGTCGATGCCTCCATTAGGAAATCATCACTGAAATCATCTGAGCCTGAGCTGCTGCTTCTTTGGCCAACTTCTCCAATCTGAAGTAACAATGTAGTCACCGTAGCAATAGCTTGATACAACTCATTTTCTTCTGGATCTTCATGGAACATGCTATACAAGGTCTTACAAAATTGGATAAATTCTCGCTACAAAGGAAGATAAGGTCAACATAATGCAATTTTACTGGCTTATTTTCCAAATTATATAGCATATTAAAGGTTCTTTCAGTACAATCTCCCATTGTTTAAGGTTTTTCCATCTGCCTAAGGAAAGACTTCAACTTGACTACTTTAGTGTTCATCCTTAGTCTTATTCTAAGGAGAAGCTATGGAGATAGCATTAAATTAATATAGCCATTCCTGCACTAATATAATGCTCCTAAATTGGAATAAAAAGAAATAACTATTTTTAAACACTATAATATAGACTGACAAGTCTTAAAGTGCAACACATGCTAGCTCTTCTGGAAGTTTTATTACAAGAAGCTTTTTTTTATATTTTCCTTTGGGTTATGAGAAAGCATTTTAGTTAGGTTGTTATCTCAAGTGTACCAATGTTGAAGATAAAAGTGTTGAAAGAAAAACCACCAAGTTGTACCTGGCTCATTTTAGGTAGTTCTTTTTCAGCCTTGGTATCTTTTTCTTTGGCTAAATCCTTCAGCATTTGTTTCAACTGCTTCTGATAATCTATGCCATCATCTACATAACAGATATATATGATGAGGAAGTGAACATAAAAAGGTAACATTGAATGACACTGGACAAACATTTTTTGCTGTTCTTATTCTAGAAATGTCAATAAGTGTATTGTCTCTGAAATGAGTCAGTGAAATTGCTTTTGAAATCTAAATTCATTACAGCCATTCCTGCAGTGACTATCTCCATATCTTATGGCAGAAAATGTTATTAATTTGTTAGATTTAGATCCTACCTTATGTTCATGAGCTTAAGCATACAATACCCCCACTCATCTTCCCCTATAACAACAAGCTTGGCTAAAGGATAGTACCTGAACATAGGTCTCCCCATTGCCATCCCCAGCTTAACCACTACATTATACTACTTAATTTTGTTAATTACAGAAAAAAAATAGTATTTGAAATTAGATTACTTACTGTTTGATTTTCCTATTACTAGTGGCCTTGATGTTGATAACAAAGAATTCTTTAGTGGTGACTGACTGTCTTTTTCATTTTCTGTGAGGGCTGTAATGGCAAAGTAATTACATTTACTTTAGCAGAATGTATTGAATTCAGATAGATCATAGAACCATACCTGTAATTTTTAATGGATCTAGTTTTTTAAGTATAAGAAATTTGATTCAATTCCCCCTCAACTGTCCAAGCATCATTCAGATACACAGCTCTCTTAGGGAAAGTGTCTCTACTAATCAGAAAAGTGAGTTTGAGGGATTTTTTTCCTTTAAAAAGTACACACGTTAAATGCCACCCTTGGAGTTTTGAGTAGTCATGCCACAAGCATAAGATCTCTGGACTTCATAAAAAGGTTTAATCCTGACTTCTGGTTTGATGTCGCAACGTGACGGGAGCAGGAAGTTAGAAAATGACTACAAAGAAGGAACTAGCAACCCAGAAAATAGAAGAAAAATCAGAGGAAGCAGATCTAAAGATAGAGGACCTAAAGAAAGGAAGCAGATCTAAAGATAGAGGACCTAAAGAAAGGAACTAACAGACTCGGACAAACGAAGGATTAGAAGACGTAGCGATAATATCAGAAATGGAAAAGATATCTTGCCTGTCAAGATCTCGGAATACACTTGAGGATAAGAAAGAAGAACTGATTGGATGGAAGATAGAGCTGTTAGGAGAACTGGGGGAAATTGGAGAAGGAGGGAGGCTGTCTAATGAATATCAATGGGCTGAGCGTCCTTCCAAAAATACTTTAATCAAATTGTCTTTCTTATTCCAAACAATATACACAAAAATAGAGGAAGAATTACTTGATGATTCAAATGCATTGACTTGGAAAGTTAGTTGGCAAAGGAAGAAAGCTAGAGTAAGACTGAAGAAAAATAGGTTTTGACCCATTAGATGGGATATTATACTATTAATCAGATGTTTGAACATGGCTGAGAATAGATAATTGTTAGAAATAGAAGTATTATTATAACTAGAAAGGTAGAATTTGTAACTATAGAATATTATATTTTGGTATGAGAAGGGAAATATGAAAATGCAAAGAGAGTTTGAATAAGGGAAGCTTTTGGTTATCCAAATATAACTTATGAGAAATTATAAGTGATAGAGACATTTTGAACTCTGATGAGAAATTAAAATTTAAAAAATGCGGGAAAAACAGGATATTAATTGAACAAATAGATATTAAGTGCAAATGCAATTAAGATATATTTTGGTTAGAAAAGATATTTTAAACCGACATTATTGCTATTATTAGGAAAATGTAACAAAGATGTTGATATTCAATTGTATATGTATTAACAACAATAAGAATTGTATTTCCCTAGGGGGAAAATGTGTATTATTGGAAGAAGAGAGGAAGCATTGGATGGTGTAATATTGGGCCTAGATTGAAGAAGTTAATATTTACCATTGAATTATTAATGGACCCAGACAACTGCAAATCCATTGCTAAAAAATCTGTCCTGCACCATTCTATGGTCAGGAAGATGTTTTATAGAGGAGAGGGCACAATGGTTATGCCCAAGATTGATTTAGCAAAATCACTCCCAAGAATTAAGTGTACCAAATTTCTGAAGGTCAGGCTAAAGGCAAAAGTATGAATTTTGGTTCAGGTATTCAAAGAAGATTTGATACAATAGATTGGTACTCATTTGTTAAACCAGAATCAATTCATCTAATTAATAAGTGTTGGGTGAATTTCTGATCAGACTATAAGGTACAGAATTGCAAGTTTACAGATAAAACTAAAGAGATCACTAATTTTCTTTTCCCAATCTGCTCCAATGACAGTTTTAGGTTAGGTTAGGTTAATTTAATTTGTATACCGCCCTTCTCCCGTAGGACTCAGGGCGGTTCACAGCATATTAAAAACACAAATACAATATACAGGATACAAAAAAATCATACAAAAATACACAAAATAACCCCACTAAAACCTAATTAAAAGCCAAATATTGATTGCTGTGTTCCCATTAAAATTACTTTTTAAA